CACTATGGTAAGATTTTTTGTTCTGATGATGCCTTATACCTGATCCCTTCGACACCTCGTGGTTGCATAGGCTGGTGTGCTTAAAATGTATGGCATTACATAATAAGTTGAAATGGTTGATATGTACAGTAGGTTGAATTATGAAGATGCAGGTGCCACCATTTCAAAATAAATGAATCCAAAACAGGACCATTATAAAATTATAAACAAAAATACAAAACCAACCACCCAACTAACCACTACCAAGGAGTTGGTTCTGTGTCATAGTGACACTAAAAGATAAAGTAGACCGCTTTCTATTATTTCAGAGTCTGTAAATCTTTACAGATACATACTCCCATATTTTGCCATTGGAGCTATTGGTAGATTCCAATCATTCATGTTTTCCAAATGAGGAAACTGAGGTAAAGAGAAATTACTTGTCTAAGTTCAAACAGCTAATAAAGCAGTCAATGAAAACAACAAAACAGTACATAAGAGGGCCTACTTGCCAGTGTAGCATGGACCTTAAGAGCTGATCCATACAGTATCTGATAAGTAACTAAATAAACTCACTGCCATTGATTTGTTTCTGACTTATAGCAACCCCATAAGGTCAGAAATTCACAACTTTCCTAGTGTATTTCCATGAGTGACACTTCACAAGAGCAGAAAGTCTTGGAAAAAGTATTTGTATAGCTGACTACTGGTGGCTTAAAGGTAGAAGACCATGCACTAAAATGGCTTTTGTGGGTTATGTGTTTGGCTATCAACTGAAAGTTTGGAACTTGTGAGGGAGAAAGATAAGGCTGTCTTGTAAACCCTATGGAGTAATTCAACTAGGTCTTATAGGGTCATGAAGAGTAAGAATCTATGGGTTTAAGATTTTCTACAGGGACTCTATAAAAATCAAATGAAGACTGTTGTTAGTTGTCAACAAGTAGGCTCTGATGACCTGATACTAACAGAACAAAACAATGCCTAATCTTGCACCATCCTTAAAAGTAGTTATGTTAATTCATCTCATGAAGTGTTTACTACATTTTCATTGACCCTCTAACTAATACGACGTCTTTACCAGCGACGTCCTTACCAGCGATTAATCTTTGCTGATGTTGGTAGGTGGCAATTAAGTCAGTTCGGACACATAGTAACCATGCACAAATGAACCATACACTGCCCAGTCATCTGCCATCCTTACAATGTTCAGCCACTTTGTCAATCCATCTCATTTAAGGTCTTCTTATTTTTCATTGCCCCTCTAGTGTACCAAGCATGATGTCATTTTCCAGGAACTGGCCTCTCCTGACAATATGTCCTAAGTATGTAAGATGAACTCCTGCCATCCTGGCCTATAAGGAATACTCTGGTCGTACTTCTTCCAACACAATCCACAGTACTTTCAATATTCTTTGCCAGCACCATAATTCAAACGCATACATTCTTCTTTGGTCTTCCTTATTCAGTGTCCTACTTTCACATGCATACTGGCAATTGAAAATACCACAGCTTGGTCAGGTGAACCTTATTCCTCAAAGTAACATCCTTGCTTTTCCCTATTCTTCTTCATTCTCTATATTGTCTATAATTAGGCAATATATAAACAGGAAGCAAACAAACAACAATAAAACACCCAACAATGACTAGACAAAACATAGAAAGCCTCAAAGCAAAAGCAGAAAAAATTAAAAACAATTTTTAAATGGGTCATAAGGGAAATCAAATACATTCTAACCTGTCTCTGCCACAATCGTACAATGCTCTCTGTCTGATAGTAAGGCTTTTCACATCCCTTGACTATGGTCAGGGGATTCACAAGAGTTAACCCATGTGAGGACCCTGCAAATGCATTGGGACATCCATTGCCATCCTTAGGCTTCTGAAAACTGGGTGTTCACAATTTATGTTTATCACAACACTGTTCACAGTAACAAAAGGATGAAAACAACCTAAATGCCCAGCAACTATGGTACACATACACAGTGAAATAATATCTGGGATTCAGTAATAATGATGAACCTGTGAAACATCTCCTAATACAGATGAACTTAGAAGACATTAAACTGAGTAAAATTAGTCAATCACAAAAGCATAAATAATGTATGAGAATACTATTGTAAAAAGTCAGAAAGTTTTCATACTGAAAGAAAAATTCTTTGATGATTACGAGAAGTGGGAGAAGAGGGGAAGGTAAATTACTAAGTAGAGGGTACACATGTATTAACTTGAGTGAAGGGAAAGGCAATATTTAATAAACATTAGGTTAGCTCAAAGGGTTCACTGTTAAAGGAAGATACTAAAAGAAGTGTAAGAGTTAGGGGCAAAAAGGTAACTGTGATTACACATCTAACCCTGCAATAACAGTAATCACAACAATCATCTATAAGTGGATACACAGACAGACCAGACCCACAGAGCTTAAAGCTTAAAGACACTCAAGCTTAAAAAGGGTGAAAGGCAAATGGGGCTATCCCCACAAACATGTATAGGTTTGAAAGGATATTTCTCTACATATGTATATGTGTTGTAAATATACTGATGAATATAGCAGCACACACATGGGGCAAAGGTATGAAAACTTTTTAGCCATGATCAAGTACAAGGAAAACTGAGTTTCTGGATCTTGGTGCTCAGAAGCATAGTTCTGGGGACAAGATCAACTGGCTTGATCTGGGAGTGAGGCAGCAATCCAAGAAGCTAGATCCATCCCTAGCTAGGAGTCGCTGAAGCCCAGCCATGATGTTTTGGATCAAGGGTCTTGCACCAAAGGTGGATCCTGAGGAAATGAAATGGAAGATATGTGAGGACATGATCTCCTCAATAGGGAACTTTCTTATCTACGAGGCCCTGCTGCAAGTCACTCCATTTATCTTAAAGAAATTTGATAGCATATGAAGATGTGACACCACATTATGATATGAAGAACCTGGTTCCATTCTCTCCTCTCATTTGCAAATGAATAGACCCAGAAAAATATACCAGACTCTTTGATTGAATGGATTTAAAAATTCTTAAGAACACATTTTTTTTCTGGTGACTGACTATATAAAATTAATTGGGAAATGTGAAAAGACTTCTTGTGGTGATATTGCACCCTTTTTCCTCTGATATTCGGCCTCCGAGAATGTTTACATACTTGTAAATAAAGTCAAACTACATTTTCTAGCAAGTATCTATCACAAGTGTCCGCATTAGTTCTGTCTTGGCGGTCATCTCTGTGGACCTTTTTCTTTCAGTCCAGATGTACTTGTGAAGAGTCTGTGACAGTTAGTTAAATTTTTTGTAAGTCAGCACAGAACAACAATGACATATGAGCACAGAGCCACCATATTTAAAAAAAAAAAGTATCAATATTCTACACATCATACTTTGCTGAGTAGCGTGGGGATCTTAAAAGCTTGTCAGTAGTATTTAGGGTACAACTATTGGTCTCTCTCAGTTCAGAAAAAGAGAGTAAAGATAACCAAGGATTCAAAAACAAATTAGTCCAAAGGATTAATGGACCACATGAACCCTCCCCTCTATGACTCTGAGAACAGAGATCTTGATAATGCATGACTACCACTGCTGATGTTATGAAAGGAGGTCTTGGATACAGTGAAAGAAAATGTGGAACAAAATCAGAACCATAAAAGAAGACAAGCCTTACTGGTCTGATGGAGATCGTGGAATGACCAAGACTATCCTATAAGCCCCCTTGGCTCAACTTTTAGCCAAATGATACATAAACCTGTAAGTTAAACAAATGGGAGGGGCACATATTCAATAGACTAACAATATGATATCAAAAGGCAGCATCTGCCCAGAAATTAAGTTCAAGAAGCAGAAAGGGATAGGATAGAAAAACAAGAAGGAAAATGGTAAACTCAGAAGTGGGAGGAACGCTATTAAATTGTGGAGATTGTAATCAATGCCACAAATCAAAATGTGTATAAAGTCTTAAATGAGAAACCAATTTTCTCTATTAACTTTGTCCCAAATCACCGTTTTTAAAAAGCAAACAAAAATTCTACCTAGTCCTAGGCAAGAAATTTGAACATTTTAGCAAAGGAAATATATAGATAGCATATAAACAAATGAAAAAGGTTCTCTGAGTGATAATCTTTAGAAAAAATAAAATTAAAATAAGATCCCACTATACAACTATTAGAATGATTAAAATTTTAAAAACTGACCAAAGGATGGAAAGTAACTAAAACCAGATGCTATGAGAATGCAAAATACATCACCTAAGAAAAGTTTTGCAGATTCTTTAGTAAAACAAAAAGCAAACCTACAACTCAACACTCCCACATGTACATGAAATGAAACCCTTTATCTACCCAAAACTTGTTCAATAATATTTATTGCAGTTTTCTTTCTAATAGCCAAACACAACAATCTGAATGTCACTCAAATGGGTAATAGATAAACTGTAGTAGAGATCCATATAATGGATAACTTCTCAGCAATAAAAAGAAACTAATGATAGATATACAAATTCACTGCCATTGAGTCAATTCCAAGTCATAGTAACCCTACCCTACAGGGCAAGGTAGAATTGCCCCATGTGAGTTTCTGTGACGGTAATTCTTTACAGGAATAGAAAGACCCATCTTTTTCCCAATTGCTGACCTTGCACAGTTATGCCACCAGGGTTAATACAATATGGAAAATGTGATTTGGGAAAGAAACCAAGAGGGTATTCAAATTATTTTGTTCATTAGACAATCTGTGAGAAGATAAACAAGAAAGATTTAGAATAGATAAATCACTGGTAGTGTGGTGTTGAAAACAGATCTAATGATGGTAGTGAAAGCTCACAAAATAGTAACAAAAAAAATTGAGAGGGAAATTAATTTTGTAATATACTTATCCTAGCTCAAAAAACTGTTTTCCATAGAGAGTGAATTCCACTTTGTCTAATTTTTTTTAATTTGAGGAAATGTAACCAAAAAAGTAAAAATGAACAAGGTGGGAAAAACAAGTCAAGCCTTTTCCCCCAAAGAAATAATACATTATTATATACAGGGATTATGAAGTCTCAGCCTCACGTATATGTACCTTTTGGGTTAAAGGATAAAAGGTAAAAATCTCAAGTTTAGGCTATATCCTAATGTTTGTTGGTGGGCCAACAAATTCTGCAATCAATTATATACCACATCATTGTGACACAGGTTGATCTCAGGATCTTATTTCCCATTAAGAAAAAGGGAAGAAAAGCTTTGTTAATGAATTTTCCATCATATCTACCCTCCTTACACTTCCCCAAAAGCCTGGGTGTAAAATTAAAAGTTGTGGATACGGACACAATGAGATTTTAAGAAATGCATCAGGTGGTCTACAATTGAAAATAATGTGACTTGAATGAAAACAAAGCATTATTGACTCAGAAAAATTGGGATATAGAACCTTATGCACAATTTGCTAAACACTGGTCCCAAGTAACTTAGAAAGGGTAGATTTATTTTGTTTTTTTTAGAGAAGAGGACCTAATGATACCTCTTCATGTCAGGCACAAGGGGGCACTGGAGCATAGAAGATTAGGTATTTCAGAAATACCTAGTTCCTTTCCCTAGATTGAAGAAAAGTTGGGAGGGAGGAAGGGATGGAAATGAGAGCAGTACCAATGAGTACATGTCCTGTTTTCAATTTCATAAAATTTTTCATTTCAGTTTAAAATTTTACTAGACAGTACATTTAAATGTACATATTTTTCAATACTAACATTATTTCAATAATAAAATACATAAAATGGACTTTCCCCCTTAAATACCAAGAATGGTTTGATCTCTAATTGTTATTGTCAATTACTTTTTGATTTATGGTAGGTTTTTCTGTTTTTATTTTGTTACTGTTGAAAGCTTGTTTGTTAAATGTTTTTCAGTATATGAAATCCAAGATGGATGTATCTACGGAGGCAGTAATTGGATTAATGATTTCTTAGGGGGTATGGAAGGTGAGGTTATAGGGAAGGGGCACCTAATCACAAAGAGTACAAGGAAGAATACGGGGTACACCCCCTAAACGGAAAAAAGTTCTGCTGGGTGGAGCTTTCATCCTACACATTTTCCCTGACACGTGAGTATCAAGCAATTTGCTCTGAATCAGTGCACCCCCCAGTGTCGCCTGGGAAAGTTCTCTGTGGTCACAGTGAATTTTTTGTAAAAGCAGTTTTGCTAGACCCTAATTTTTTGTCCTGATTTAAGAGAACAGTACGCAGCTGTGAAATTTTGTTTCCTGCTCAGAGAAAAATGCCGCAGAAACTGTTGTGATGTTGAATACAGCTTACAAGGGCAGCACTATGGGAAAAACTCAAGTTTACGTGTTTTTTCGTTTCAAAAAAAGTAAAATACAGATACCTCATTCTAGATGCCCATCAACTTCCTAGTCGACAAAATTCATGCACTTGTGCTCAAAAACCAATGACTGACCATTGAAGAGATAGGGAAGTTATCTGGACTATCCTGGAGCTCAGTTCAGCGATTTTTAACAGAAGATTTGGGAAAGAGAAGGGTCGCTGTGAAATTTGTGCCTCGAGTTCTGACAGACCAAGAAAGAGAGAGTCAAGTGGAAACAGGCCATTCTTTGAAAGAACATCTCCAAAGCGACCCAGAATTTTTTTCCAAGGTCGATTACTGGTGAGGAGGCATGGTGCTATTCTTATGATCCCCAAAGCAAACATCAATCAAGCCAGTGGAAGACACCATTGTCACCTCTCCCCCCAAAAGCTTGTCAAGTGAAACAAATATCAAGACAATGCTCATTTGTTTTATTGATGTGAGGGGGATAGTGCATTTGGAGTTTGTTCCACCAGGTCAGCCTATTTAAGCTTTCTGTTTAGAGATTCTAAAAAAGATAGCATAACAGTATGACAGAAATAAAAAAGCCTGACTTGTGGCATACCACCTGCTCATGTAGCCATCTCAGTGCACATTTTTGGCAAAAAAAAACAACACAAAAAACATGCCTCTCTTGCCCCACGCACCTTACTCACCTCAACTGGCTCCATGAGACTTCTTTTTGTTTCTGCAAATGCAGAGGGACATGAAAAGAGAGCAATCTGACGTCATAGAAGAGGTGAAGAAAAATATGAGATGCTATCAGCCATCCAAAAGGATGAATTTGAAAAATGTTTCTAAAAATGGAATCATAGATTTGACAAATGTCTTAAGTATAATGGAGAGTAAGTTGAATGTGATAAGGTTGTTTTGTAAAAAACAACACACAGCTTTGAAAAAAATTCCCTTTTTGCGGGGGGAAGTACCCCCCCCCTTGTATGTTCTAAAATTGATTGTGGTAATGATTGCACAACTCTTCTTGACATGATTGAAACTACTGAATTGTATATGTGGATTGTGTCCCAATAAACTGTTCAAAAAGTGAAGTAGAAAATATTAAAAACTAGAACAAATTTAGGCCAATAACAAATGGCAATAAATGAATTGACTTGCACATATTAAACTCTTGCCAGAATGCACACTATTTATAAATAATGAGAGTTGGTTACAGGGTAAAACTTTCAATAATATTGACAGTGGTAGTACCACATCTAGGCGTTTTTATAGTGGTCTGGTTAGTTTAACTTATATTAATACTTTCAAATAAAATTCCATGGGATTTTTAACCTAATTTTATATTTCTCACTTATTTCCTCCATGTTGAAAGTCCTGCTACACAGTACCACCAATATAATTTACTTTGTAGCACAGTACATACACAATAGTCTAACAAATAATATACACCCTACAATGAAGGAAAAATATTTAAGGTTTTTTGCCCTAAGTGTATATATTACACAAAGTATATACACTCAAGTTAACGTATTTTAAAGTTACTTGAAATATTTCCTTCCTATGGTTACCATACTTAGCACTTTTTAATTTTCCTTTTAGTATTTACTTTTAATGATTAAAATACTTTAACAGTTTAAAACCCAATTCCTGAAATCCTACCACAATGATGTCTGAAGTGAATCAGGAAAAATCCACCACTGTCTCAACCTCTTGTCTGAACTTTGCATGTGTCTGCTATTTAAATGAAAGCTGGCACTTCCCCCAAGGACACTGTTTGTCCTGGTATTCTCTCAAGTGATGATTCTTTTTTATGTATAAATAGTTTTATTGGGGGACTCTTACAGTTCTTAGAACAACCAATTCTATTAAGTGCATTTGTACGTATGTTGCATGATGATTCTTTTTTTGCCCTCAGGTCTGGGGTTGGAGTCTTCTTTATTCCTTATTACACAGACCATTCTCCTTTCCTGGTGACCTATCCTACTTCAAGAATGATCGTCCCAGAGTTAAATACTTTCACCATAAATTGAGTTTCACACTCTTCATTCTCTGACCACCACCACCTCCAGTGTTTCCAGCTTGGCTAATTGTTCAACCCAACCCAGGATCCACAACTTCTGTCTTTTTATTGTATTATAATAAAACTAACAAAATTAATTTGCCAAAATTATCTCATGGTAGCGTACTGACAAGTTTTCTTAACATTTCCAGGAATAAGCAAAAAAAAACACTTTAATAAGAGTTTAAAATAATTTACTTTGATTCATTCTAGGCTCACTGGGAAACTTAAGTTTAAAAGACTAAAAATGACTTAAATTTCTTTATGAGGGTAAGTCAAAAAGTACTGCTACCAGGGTTTCAGTTCAGGCATGCACAGATTTATTCCACAGAAAGCATGTTTAAACATGTCTCTTGGACCAGTAAATGGCTTCAGACAAGTTCTCCTAGCAACATACTTGAATTAGTTTCCTGAGGGTGCCTTCTGAGACCAAGGGGTAAGAGGGAATGTTAAAGTAGCCTAAAAAGCAAAATAAATAAAAAAGAAAGATGAAAATTAAGCAAACCAAACTCATCAGAACTGAGACATTCAGAACTTGAATTTGTTACTTAAAAAAAGTACAAATCCTGTTACCATGAAGTCAATTACAACTCAGAGATCCTATAGTTCACATAAGAACTGTTCCTTAGATTTCTGAAGATTAAATCTTTACGGGAACAGACACAGCCTCATTTTTTCTCCTTTGGACTGGCAGGTGAATTTGAACTGCCATCCCTTTTGCTTAGCAACTCAATGCTTAGCCCACTCACGACTCAGTGGAAACCTCAAAATAGTTGCTTCAGAATTTGTTATAGTTTCTTTTTTAAATAAAAGATATGGAGTGCCTATTATTTTCTCAAAATAGTGTTGCTTCATGAATTTCTAATTAAGTTATATTCATTTTATTTTAGAGCTGAGGAAGCAGGTTTAGAGGATGAACTTGCCCAATGCACACAAATACTAACTAGCAATTAGAATTTTTATTCTTTTAGGTAATAATAAGGCATATATGAGAAAAAAATCCTGAAAAAAGTACTAAAAATCCAATGATATATGTTTTGTAAAACATACATATATGCAACATTATTTCTAAGCTTCAAAAATTCCTAGTAACAATACGTTGATAATATTCAGTATTATGTAAATAACTTGGAAAAGATAGATCATTTAGTTTTGAACAATTTTCCATTTTTCATTAGCCACACTATTTTAACAAATTAAATACATTACAGAGCTCACATAAACGTTAATTAAATGTTTATATATTTAGAAAACCAAATCAAATCCACTGCCATTGAGTAGATTGCAATTCTTAGTAACACTATAGGGCAGAGAAGTGCTCTGCAGGGTTTCTGAGACTAAAGCTTTAGGGAAATAGATAGCCTCCTCTTTCCCAGCAGACCAGCTGGTGGGCATGTATCAGATACTAACCATACAGTTCAGAGTCCAACACATAACCCAATGTGCCAATAGGGCACTCATATATAATCCCTAAATCTATTAGTGTAGAAAAATAAAAGTATGTTTTATTCTTAAGACAGATAATGCTACTATACAAATGCTTCAAAGGGATCATGGCAAAATTTCATTATCTTTCAATTCCATTTTTCCACAAAAAAATTTTTTGTGTTCTACAACATGGTTTGTTGTTATTATAAATCATTTTATTGGGGGCTCTTAAAGCTCTTACAACAATCCATACTTCAATTGGATCAAGCACATTTGTACATAGGTTGCCATCATCATTTTCAAAACATTTTCTTTCTACTTAAGCCCTTGCTATCAGCTCCTCTTTGATCCCTCCCTCCCCAACCTTCTCACCCTCGTGACCCTTTGATAAATTATACATTTTTATCATTTTCAAATCTTACCCCATCTGCTATCTCTCTTCACCCACATTTCTGTTATTCGTCCCCCCGGGAGGTGGGGTGCACGGTAATACGTCCATCATTACGATCAATTCCCCCTTCACAAATGTTTTGAAGCCTCCTTCGTGAAGTTAAATTTCTGATTAGCAATACTGAAAATTTTCAATTAAAATTATTTTATGGGTGGATGCAATTTTTTCATGCAATATTTACAACAACTCTTCAACTAATAAACATTTAGGTTCTGGGTGAATTGTCTAAATGTATCTAAGAAGTGACAACAAATATGGTTGTCCTTAATAACCCAATGCCACTGAATGGATTCCAACTTCCAGAATCCTACAGGATAGAGTAGAATCATTTCACGGGGTTTTCAAAGACTGCAAATATTTACAGAAGAGCAGAAAGTCTAATCTTTCTCAGGAGGAGCTGCTAGTGTAATTGAACTATTACTGACCTGTGGCTTAACCCAATGTGCTACTAAGGTTCATTGTAATGCTAATACTGCAGGTTTTGTTTTCTTAAATGTCCTTATGATTAAAATTATTGTAGCAAATAAATATTTCTAGTAGATGAAACGTTTACATCTCAGAACACACAGGGCAGTTAGTTCTACCCTGTCCAACTGGGTTGCTATGAGTTGGCATTAACTGAATGGTATTTATTTTTTCCTACCAAATATTAAATGGATAATAATTTAAATTCTCTAGTAAAGGGATTAAGAATTCAATTTATATATTCCAGTTCTACCTCACTTACTGCCATCGAGTCAATTCTGGGTCATATTAACTCTATAGGAAAGGGGAGAAGTGCATACCCCTGAGAAGTCCAAGACTATGAATCTTGAACCCTTATTCTACTTGTCTCTAAAGGTTCATCAATCCTGGGTTTCACACACAAACATATAACAAAAGTTCAAGAGGGTTACCCACAATGACAAAATACATCAAAAGATAAACCAAACAAACCCAGAAAACATTGAAAAGATCAGGCCCAAGATATATCACAGAGGGGATTCAAGTGACAAGGTTTTAATCTTTCAAGTCATTTTTATCTCCTATAGTTATCTCTCCAATACTCTGTTTGATAACCAGTTTATTCCCATTCCTCAATTATGGGTAGAGGGAAATCACTAGAGACTCATTTCCTGTGTTGATCAACAAAGTATCTTGGGCTTGATAGGTAAAAATCTAGAGAGATAGTAACTGGATTTAAAGTTTCTTAGGGTTATGCAGAAGAGGCTCAGGAAAAGGGGGAGCTAATAATGAGTAGACGAGAGAACAAAAAATTTAATTTATTTTGGTGATGATTGCACATATTTTTTGTTGGTTTTTTTTTTTCTCAGGGGAGAGTGCGAAAGCAGTCCCCCACTACCATGGTTTTGCAGTCGAGTTTCCCACCTTTGCCAAAATCGCAGGGATCAGCACATTTGGAGTGCAACGGATAAGCCTCCCCTGGGAAAACCACCTTCGTGATCATTATATCTCCCTTGTCAGGTAAGTATGCACATAGCTTTACAAATACGTTTAAACCACTGAATTTGATGTTAGGTGAATTACATGTCAATAAAACTGTTAAAAAAAGTTTTAAGTGGCTACCATATGGAAAACACAAAGTGACACAGGAGTTGCAAAGACTGGAGTGATTTCATTAAAACACAAATTATCTATAACTTTCAAAAGCAACAACACAATAACCATATCTAAAAGGCCTTGACTTCAGATGATAACACTACTATCTAGGCATTATTATAGAAGATACAGCAGAGTGGTATTTAATGTTCTCTAGTATCATGTATCACATGGTATACTGAATGCATTCTTCAGAGTTAGAACCAAAAAACCTTGAATAGTAAATGTCTTTAAAGTTTCAGTTTTCAAATTATTAAAATAGAAGTATTAAACATAATATATGAAAAGCATTTAGCAAAGTACCTGAATCATGTAAAATACAAACACTATAAATGTTTGTTTTGTTTTCCTTTGTCCCCTGATGAGTAAATAGAAATAACTCATAAAGATCTGATAAAAAATGTTAGAAAATATCTGGCAAACATGTTCAAGATTGCATGTATTAAAATATTAGCAAGAGGAAAGACAAATTAAGTGCAGTTACTTAGAAAAATAGCTTAATGAGTTAAAAAAATTAGGTATTAGAAGGCACATAAAGAAACATAGACTCACTAGTATTTTTAACTTAGGTTTTCTGTATCTTATTGCCTAAACCACACACAGTAACTTTAAGGATGCACTTGAGATTTCAATATAAATAAGCAAAATGATCTCTTGAAATAAAGGCAAGAAAGGGATAATTTGTGATTGGAATACAGCAATACAAGAATTGTATTAAAAGTCTATTTGAGAGTAGCAATACCAGGAGGGGAAGGGGAAGGTGGGGGTAAGGGATCACAAAGATCTACATATAATCCCCTCCCCTGGGGGACAGACAACAGAAAAGTGGGTGAAGGGAGACATCGGACAGTGTAAGGCATGAAAAAAAAAAAATTATAAATTATCAAAGGTTTGTGAGGGAGTTGGGAATGGGGAGGAAGGAGGGGGGGAATGATGAGCTGATACAAGGGCTCAAATAGAAAGCAAATGTTTTGAGAATGATGATGGCAACAAATGTACAAATGTGCTTGACACAATGGATTATGTATGGATCGAGATAAGAGTTGTATGAGCCTCCAATAAAATGATTTTTTTTTTCAAAATGAATAATGAAAGTCCCTTTGAAAAAAAAATTTTTTTAAGTCCATTTGAACAGCATCTCACCAAACAAAGGTCCATAGTTCCACAGACTTTTTAAAAGATAGAAATCAGGTCTACTTTCATTGTTTCCTCCTAATAACTCCCAAAGACTGCTGCAACATTTGGCCACAGATGGGATACAGGCAGGTGATGCAGAAGACATGGGGTCTGGATACAGACTCTTAAACCTTGTCTGGTGGGTAGGCAGCACCAAAGGCTGTGGAGCCCAAACTGCTCCTGCAGCTCGGCAAAATCCACTCCTTTCTCACTCTCTTCTTACGGTCTCTGCTTTTCCACCACAAACTCAACTGCCACCACTACCAGCACCCAATCTCCCAGTATGTGACAGTAGCTCCAGCAGCAGCAGCAGCAGCAATGAAGACACCAGGAAATGGGCTTCCAAAGGTTTTTCAACAGATGTATAAATCACACAAACCTTATCATGGACATTAAGCAATGCAAGCTTTTGTATTTATATAAAATATCTTTCAAAATCAAATATAGAGAGATTAGCAGAGACCAGACACAAGATACAAGAAATCCATGAAACCATGTGTGTCAAGGGTAATTTTGAAAAGAGAACAAACAGAAGCAATAAATATAACTCATAAATGTATAATAGAAACTGACCTTACATAAGGCATCATCAGAACAAAAAAATCTTACCATAGTGAATGATGGGGGAAGTGCGGAGTGGACACCCAAAGCCCATTAGTAGACCACTGGAAATCCCCTTGCAGAGGAGTCTCGGGGAGGAGACAAGCCAGTCAGGGTGCAATGTAGCAACAATGAGAAATACAACTTTCCTCTAGTTCCTAAATGCTTCCTCCCCACTCCCACTATCATGATACGAATTCTACCTTGCAAGTCTGGCTAGACCAGAGGATGTACACTGGTACAGATAGGAACTGGAAATCCAGGG